CATTAACCTGAATTTCTAGTTCACCCTGTTTGCTGTTCATACTCTGTGCATTGGTGTATAGACATTTGAGTCCTTTATGACTGGCCCTCTGTTTTCTTTCTACATAACCTGTGTGGTACCTGAGTTCCCCTATTGTCTTACCGCCTATTTGGTTAGTGCACTTTGTGTGGCACTCGCTATTATTTTGCCAACTATTGTGAAAAACAGATGGGTACCCCAAAACCTTAAATTCCAAGACAGTAGCTGAATGTTAAGAGAAATGGTCTAATAGTACAGAGTATATTGAGAATGGAATCAATTGCTTGACTGAGGTGTGAAACCTCTCTGAAGGTCTTCAAACAGAAGCTACATGAGGAGGAAAAGGATATAACTTTGGCATGATTTTTCTTCAATCAGATTTATGCTATATTTTACTTTTGTAATATTTTTTACCAATGCATCCAGATTAGAAATTGCCTTTAATGACCTTGATTCTCAGCCTTTTATATAAGCCTTTATTTTCATAAAGTGATTTATTGACACTTTCTAGCTGGAATTACATTTAGACTACATCCAAATGAAATTGAGTTCTTTGTGGTTCAGCCAGTTGCATTAATCTTTAGTAAAATAACCTATATTATTTTAACATGTCATATGAAATCAGGTCATTAAACAAAACAAAACAAAGTTATGCAAACACAGATATACTATGTGAAATCATTGCCTATCTTAAGACAATTTAATCAGATTCCTTTCTCATAAAATATATTCTTGGATTTCTTATTTGTCACCTGCCCTTTTCCATTTCTTCCAAACATTTCTTGTTTGCTTGCATTTCTTTTGTCCCCCAATTTGATGTAGAAATGCAAATCCAAGCATGTGAGTTGCAAAACTTTCTAATCATGTCACAAATATTATACATAAATCTTATTCTTCCCTCATTCACTTCATTGAGTAGTTGGGAAATGAAATGTTTAAACTAGCTCCTGCTTTGACTTTATGTTTTTCAGCTTTAACAAAGTTCTGTTTCCATGAGCTGTCCATGTCCTGGAAGCGCCTCTCAGACATCTTAACTATATGCTATGTCTATATGCTTGCAATTATATATACTGTATAATATATGAAGCCATTTATTTATTTTATTTTTAAAATTTATAAACCGCCCCACTCCTGCAGGACTCTGGGCGGCTAACAATAAAAACAACATAAAACATGACAAAACAAACAGTACAATAACAGTCATCCAGGGGTCAGATTTTATAAACCCCAGGCCTGCCGGAAAAGCCAGGTCTTAAGTAGCTTACGGAAAACCAACAGGGTGGGAGCGGTCCTAATCTCCGGGGGGAGCTGGTTCCAAGACGTGGGCACCATCACAGAGAAAGCCCTCCTCTGTGGCCCTGCCAAATGGCACTGCTTGGCTGATGGGACCCGAAGGAGGCTCAGCCTGTGGGATCTAACCAGACGAAAGGAACTATGAGGTAGTAGGTGGTTTCGCAAATAGCCTGGCCCTGAGCCATATAGGGCTTTAAAGGTAATAACCAACACCTTGAATTGGACCCGGAGACCAATAGGCAACCAGTGCAGCTCATGGAGGATAGGTGTAACGTGGGTGTACCAAGGAGCACCCACTATCACTCGCGCAGCTGCATTCTGGACCAACTGTAGTCTCCAAATACTTTTCAAGAGTAGCCCCATGTAGAGCGCATTGCAGTAGTCCAAACGTGAGGTGACAAGGGCATGAGTGACTGTAAGGAGAGCCTCCCGGTCCAGATAGGGTCGCAACTGGTGCAACAGACGAACTTGTGCAAAGGTCCTCCCAGCCACAGCCGTCAAATGATGTTCCAAATTCAGCTGTGGATCAAGGAGGACACCCAAACATGATCCTTGGGAGGCAACATCCAAAGCCACTCGGTCTTGTCAGGATTGAGCCTGAGTCTGTTAACCCCCATCCAGACCCTCACGGCTTCAAGACAATGGCCCATCACATCAACCGCTTCACTGAGAGAGCTCGGGGAGGAGATATATAGCTGGGTATCATCAGCATACTGATGAAACCTCACCCCGTGCTGTCTGATGATCTCACCCAGCGGCTTCATGTAAATGTTTAATAGGAGGGGGGAGAGGACCGACCCCTGCGGCACGCCGCATTCAAGGGGCCTCGGGGATGACCTCTGCCCTCCCACCAATACCGATTGAGACCGGCCAGAGAGGTAGGAGGAGAACCAACGTAAAACGGTGCCTCCCACTCCCACCCCTTCAAGTCGTCACAAAAGGATACCATGATCGATGGTATCAAAAGCCGCTGAGAGGTCAAGTAGCACCAAGACAGAGGAATAACCCCTGTCTCGGGCCCGCCAGAGATCATCCATCAGCGCGACCAAAGCATTTCCTCTAAAATGTTTATAGGCGCAATTGCTGGTAGACAAACTAATTGAAGAAAACTATGAAACATCTTAAAGTAGTATTTCATCTATTATTAGCTGCTTGTAGCTTATATATCCATTGATTTTTCTGTTCAATTACATTGAACATAACTCTCAGCAATATGAATTCCTGGCTACTTAAGTAAGCAGACACAGAAGGATTTGTAACTATAGAAATGAATACCTTTGGATTGGAAACCACATGAATTTTGCCATATAACTAAAAACATGCCAACTCTCTCCTGGAAGATGTAAAATGCATTCTTTCTGACCACCAAATTCTCTCTATCATTAAATCTTGTTAATTGTATTTACCTACCATTTTGTAAGGGGATTTTATTAATTCTATTTTCCAGTAAGATTCTGAAATGTTTATCTGAATTATCCTTCCATAATTCTCAGACATAATATAAAAAAAATCTGTTAGGGATCTATTTTATTTCAAAAAGTTGTTATCTGCCAAAACAAATTCCATTGCAGCATGGACAGCAGTAACAAATGCATAAGCTTATATTCATCATATGGAGCAAGGAAACTTCACTTAAGCTAACATGTATTTGAGAAAGCTTTATTTAAAAATAGTGGAGAAAGTTGCACACTAAAAAGCACACCTATTAGAAAGTTTTATAAATTGCATAAAGTAAATATTGCAGAAAAATACATCCAAAATGAGCCCACAAATGTAGTAGCACCAGCTTCTCTGGTTAGTTCAAGATACTTTAAAAGCCCTAAAATACATTAACTATATAGGCATGTAGGAAAAATTGATCCTCTTTTGGAAAAACATATACTCCCTTATTACAAATATCCATACTTTTTTCTCCTGGACTGGACTCCAATATTTAAGCAAACTTATCCATTTACTGGAAATTTATGCTTCAGGATTGCCCCTGTAGTCCCTGAAAAAATTAAATATAATGCCTATAATACCCATAAAATCTCCTTTCACATGCTGACTTTTAATATAACAGGTTAACTTTATTAAACATTGAGGAAATGTTGTTACCAATAGTATTAAATCAGAATCTGAAATTCTGTTTCTCTTCTGATACTTTTTAAAATGAGATTCCTAGCCAATCTGCTGATTCTGCTATAAATTACTGCCTTTTTGTATTCTGACTTAGATTGATGGATCAAAACAATTTTTGGTTATTGCCCAAGTAAGCAGAGTACAATTTCTTGGCATTTTAAAGATAGATTGTTAAGAAATTGAGTAAAACTGAATAATATATATTTCATAGCAATCACAAAGATCAGATTTACAAATTTTATATAAAACTGTGAAATTTGATGATGTGAAACCCTTAATTATATTCCAGAAATGTTTACAGATCAGAAAACAGTCTCCTTTCAAGTGCTACTTTGAAGTTAGCACAATCAGTTTTTGGACAACTGTAAGCATGTAAGGGTAGTGGGCAATAAATATTAATCCTCATAAATATTAATGAGAAGAGCTTTGAATTCTGAAGAACTCATATTAGTGCACAAAATTATACATGTTTTAGCAGTTTTCTCTCAATGCTTAATTTACATCTGAAGACCTTAGACATATGTTTTCTAACTTATATCCATGCATTTGAAGAATGAAAGTGTAAGTGGCAACAAAGCAAAGAAGAAAGAGTGATTTTAGCATCCGCAATGTAGGAATCCTCTTTACTGCCTGCCTAGTTATAGATATATATAGTATGTAAACATGGATAAGTAAATGTTTCTATAATTGTACATATGCTTATGAGTGCCTCTATTTTTCCTGGATGTAACATGTTATATGTTCATTATTGAAAAGGCAGGTTATCCAAATGGCTGAACAGTGGTAAAATTAGCTCAGCATAACATAACATTTAATGGTTGGTTTTAACTTATTTATGTTTTATAGATAGATAGATAGGTAGGTAGGTAGGTAGGTAGGTAGGTAGGTAGGTAGGTAGGTAGGTAGGTAGGTAGGTAGGTAGATAGATAGATAGATAGATAGATAGATAGATAGATAGATAGATAGATAGATAGATAGATAGATAGATATGGATGGACGGACAGACGGACGGACGGAGAGACAGATTTTTATGATTGTAAGCCATCCAGAGTTACCCCTGTGGTAAGATGGGTGGCCAATAAATTGTATAAATAAAAGCTATGTTTCTTAAATGGCTACTCCTAAGTTGTGAAATAATGCCAAAAAATAAAGTCTTAATTTCTCTTCAGATAATTAAGTCTATAATTCTACACTTCCATTCTGCAGAAAAAGTACCATTTAATTCTAACAGCTATAGAGACTATATGGTAAGGAAAAACAACCATAAAGCCCAATTTTTAGAGACTGCCTGCTCCAACTCTTCAGAAGTTATTGTTAAAAGTTTTCTTGCCTCCCTCAAGCCAGCTTCTAGTCATGTAGATAATCTAGGACAATTGGACTGATTGGACAGATTGATAGATCAATTTGTTCAAAGAGCAGGCAGGTTTCATTTCACAGCATTTCATCAATGTTAAAGGGAACAATATTATACAAGTCTGAGTGCACAGTTGGGAAGTAAGAATTTTGGGGGGGATATGTTTATGTGTGGGTGTGCACATATATAAAGCAAATAAATTTGTTAGTTGAAATGGGTTAAGTAAGCTTCAATTTTAATTCAGAAAACAGATGAGTGGAAAACAATGTATTGGGTCAGCACAATATAGAGCAAGTGCTTTTTTTAAATAGTCAAATAGGTTGCAAATTACACCACCCCAAACACAAATTGTATGTGGTGCTTTTTTTTTTTTTTTAAAAAAAAAAATCCAATTACAGATCTGATTCCTTAATCTACAAAGCTTTCTCCTTTGGCTGATGATTTCCATGGTTTCATTTTTTCTGGATCTGGCAGTAAAGGCTCATTGAAAAAACCATGCCAACAATCTGAAAAGGAAGAAAGATGTTTAAGATGCATCGTTTGGCAACTTCAGTAACAGTTCAGTACACAGCAAGAACATTTTGTAAAATTCTTGGATTTTGCATGTACTAATGGATCTGCTATGTTAAAGATTGCTTCCAACACCATTTAGACATATGACTTTCAGATAGTGGGATTTTAATGAAACCCATGTATATCACAGCATAGGAAACCTCAACTTATTCTGAAAGATAGATTGTTTTAAAGGGTGAAGACAAGTTGTGAGATTCTTACTTGTGCTTTGTATTGCAACATTTGTGGGAAAGAGATCAGATTTCTTGAGAGCTGAAAAGATTTTTCATACTGCTTCTTGTCAACATTAGTATTCTTAGAAATCTTATTCATAAAGATATGAGTTATTTGCACTTCTATAATAAATTACAGCAAAACAACAATCTTGCATAATTGAATAACTAATGTTTTCTTGCATAAATTTTCATGGAATTATGTTCACTACATCAAAGCCACGGAATATATTCCCATGGAAGGAATATTATAGAAAGATTTTTTTTAATGGTTTGTCTCAAAGGTGCCACAATATCTGTAATTTGGATTCTTGTGGAACTGTTATAAATGTGGGGATTTGCTGTTCTAGATAACTGGTCACTTCAGTTTAACAAAAATTAATAACAAATTAAAGTAGATATTGGAGCACATTCATATATGCTCTGCTTTAAGTAAAATTTAAACTGACTATCAAATGGACTTTTTCACTGGAGTTTTAAAATTTAATTATTTTTTAGCTCTTCATAAACACTTGGTAGCTTTAAAATTGAAAAATCAGAACTTCAACTACAGTTTTGTAATCAATAGTTGAAGCAAACATTAAACAACAAGACTACATAAAAAGAGGCAATCATTAAGGGAAGTCTGCTTCACTGTTCCACAAATAAAAGTAATTGGAATTCACTCTAAAAGAACTAGTTATGGGACAGCATGGCTAGTGTACATTAGCTGTAGAAGAAGTAAATAATCTGTGTTTCAGGACCACATACAGCTTCAAGCTTCTATTCTCCAGCCTTTGTGAAGCCTTCTCTCACTACTACGCTTGAAAACAATTTCTCATTATTTTGAGATAGAAAACATGAAATCTCTATCGAATGCCCTACACAGTAATAACAGACCAAAGAGGAAAAGAAAAAGCAGCCTCCCTCAATATAAATACTTGCCTCACCCAATGAAGACTTTACCCTTACAAAAGAGTGTGTGATAGTAGTAAGTTGCCAGACATTTACAATGGGAAGCTCAGAAGTCCAAGCAACTGTTATCTGCAGAGCTAACTATTAACTGTTAAACCGTTAACAATAGAGGTGACTCTATTTATTCAATGGGCTCAATCTTTTATGTTCTAAATTTGTGTTAACTCCATCCAACCCACAAAAATTAGTAGGACTTTTGAATCGAAAACATAGAAGGTAGCAACCTGGTAGCAGCCCATTTCTGAACATGCAGAAATATTCTTCATCAAATCACTATCAATACTGTTGATATATGCTCACACTTTAACAAGTGACTTGATCAGTGTACTACTGAAATGATAGCTTGCAATATGATAACAGGTTGAAATAAGATTTTATTAGTATACCTCAATAAATGCCAGTCCAAATGCTATCCCCATAACTATAATCATATTTTTCTGGAACATTTCCATAATTACAGTTGCACAAGTCTAAAAGAAAGGCAAAGACAAATGACATAAGTCACACATGCATAAGCTATATATAACTTAATAGCCATGTTACAAATTTTGCTGGTATCAAAAGGCAAAGGAGAAATGAATAATATATCTTCATTTTTAAAAAAACTTTCAAGATTGGCTGTGAGATTTTTATATTTCTAATGAAAAAAAGTGGATAATTGAATAAATAAATAAGATATTAATTGTTTTTGTTAAGTATTACAATAGCAAGATTTAAGAAACAAAACAGTTTTGATAATTGGTTTCATCCAGGTTTAGAAAATCAATCAGATGAAACAGCTCTTTTAAAATCCGAGCACTAAAGCTAATGAATGACTGAACCATACGTGAATTTTCTATGAATTCCATATTTTATGTGGAAGAAATGTGAAAAATACATAAAAATAAGTTGACCTACAGAATTTGATAAGAGCTGACAATTGTGATAACTATTAAGTCATATGAATATTAGTCGAAGTTGTCTCTCAATTATTTTCAATGTGATCATTTTCACAATCCTTCATCAATCCATCATGCATTCTTTTACAAGCTTTATCAATGCATTGTTACACAGTAGATTGTGATCATTATATAAAGGAACACTTTGATGTATTTGTACTTATTCTGGAATATAAAAGAACAACATACATGTCCAAAAATTTGAGAGAAATACTTTGGATATTACACAAGAGAGAACACAACCTCTCACTGCTATTTATTAAAGTAGTCCAACTTTCACCATGTTTGTGTAAACCTGAAGAAAAGATGTGTCAGTATTAAAGAATTCACTCACTAAAGTATACATTCATTCATGTGTTCATTTGTTCATTTTATATGACTGCCTATCCATCAAGTGACTCTGATGTCTAACATTAGAAAGTATCAGCTGTTTAAAAAGCTACAAACATATATTATTTCTAGAATCAGTAATTCACATAACATATAACAAACTCTACAAATGATTCACATATCTTGGCCCAGTGCTTAAAGGAAGGATCCTAAAAAATAAATACTGTATCCATTTTGGTATAATATAGCACTATTTAAAACCACTGAGCTAGAAACCAGGAGATCATGAATTCTAGTTCTACCTTAGGGATGAAAACATCTGGATGACCTTAGGCCAATCATTTTCTCTCAGCCGAAGGAAGGAAGCAATAGCAAAACACTTCTGAAGTTTTGCCAAGAGGACTGCAGGGACTTGTCCAGGTAATTGATAGGAATTAAGACTGATTCGAAGGCATCAGAAACAACCAAAGAACAAGGTAGTAATGGAAATGCAAGTTATAATAATTATGGTTTTCATTAACTTTTCCCTAACCAGGATACTTCCTGGGTGAAGAATAGAGCAATAGTATAAACATCCAATCAATGCCTGATAACCAACCTGCATTATTGTTCCCTAGAATGATTCCATGATATATGAATCTGGAAGCCACAAATGGCCACTATACCTAATAGTCACTGATGTACTCATGTAATTTTTTTTCTTACCTTTACATACTCTTTTCCAGAACAATAACTTGTACCTATGTCTGTCTGTTCACATTCACATCCACTGTTACCATTAAAGTTTTTTCCCCAATCTGATTTTCCATTAAATATGCCACAACATTTGTGCTACAAGAAAAACAATATTTAAGAGTTTAGTGAAATTCAGTGAAGAAAGATAGCTTAGCAAATAGTAAAAATATGTTTACCAACATTGCCAGAATGTAGATCATTTCAATGCTTTTATTTAAAATAAAAGAATACAATTGTGAAGAGAGCTACACAAATTTTTTAAAAATACAGAAATTAGAAAAATCAACAATACTGTAATGAAATCCTCCAAGTTGAATGGTTTTTTGTGATGGTGTTACAATTAAATGATATTCAAAAAAAATCAGCATGAGGGGGAAAACTCTCCTGAGGAAACAGGAACAACCCTGCCGATTATCGCCCTGTAAGCCTGCTTTCCGTCATTGGGAAATTGTATGCTAAATATCTTCAGCGTAGACTACTCATTTGGGTTGAGGAGTCTAACATTATTGGTGCAGAGCAGATTGGGTTTAAAGTGGGCTGTGCCACATTGGACCACTGTTTTGTGGTCCACCTGGTTGACAAATACGCTATTACACCAGGTGGCAAACTCTTTACTGCTTTTATCGATTTAAAGGCAGCATTTGACTCAGTCCCTAGGGAACTGTTGTGATCAAAATTGCACAAAAGTTCTATTGACAGATGTCTTTTGTTCCTAATTAGATCTTTGTATAATCAGACCTCTAGCCAGGTTAGGTGTGGCTTGCAGGGAGAACTTTCAAATCCTATCCCGATTGAGAGCGGAGTTAGGCAGGGCTGTATCCTGGCCCCTCTTCTGTTTAATTTATTCTTATCCAACCTGGCCTCTTACATTCCACACATTGAGTCCCATGCCCCAAAGTTGTTAAATACGAAGATTCCGCTTCTTCTTTATGCTGACGATGCGGTCCTTCTATCACAATCAAGGCTCGGTCTAAAAAGATTACTTTCTGCATTTGGGTCCTACTGTGCTGAGAACCATTTGTCTATTAATTATGACAAATCCAAAGTATTGGTGTTCTCTAGAGCACGGAAATCATACAACTGGGGTATCAATGGTAATGTTGTTAGGTAGGTTTTCCATTTTAAGTATTTAGGTATTCAATTCAGAATACTGGTGCTTGGACTAAACATCGAACCCAGGTGCTGAATTCGGCCTTCTGTAGCCATCAGCAGATTATAAGATTCTTTTTTACCCAAGGAGGCTAGTTTACTCTTTCTGCTCTGCGTATATATAAAGCCAAAACCCTGGCCCAAACTCTTTATGGAATTCCCATATGGATACGAGGCTTCAAGGATTGTATTGAAAGAACCCAGGCTGTTTTTCTTAGGAAACTTCTGGGTCTTCTTCCCTGTGTTGGATTTGCTTTGATGTACCTGGAACTGGGCATTCATTCAGTCAAATGCATGGCATGGATTAACACCTTTAAATGGTGGTTTCAGGTGCTCTTTTCGGCAGTCCCTGGTAGCTACCTCTCCCTGGTGTTTGCTGACTCTCATACTTCTCGTTGGGAGAGGGAGCTGACGAAGAAACTCCACTTGCTAGGTTTTACGGGGGATGCTCTGGGAGATTATGGTCTCAAGGACGCCCAGTTTAGGGTAGTCCAACGGCTTGTGGACATAGATTTGCAATACTTAAGAGCCAGAGCCAACAAAACCTGCTCCCCTTTGATCTTTAGTCATTCTAATAATTATGAATTGAGGATGGCTTCATATTTCTATACTTTAACCATCCCCAAGTATAGAAGAGTGTTTTCCTTAGCCTGTTTCAATGACTTGCCCTCAGCACTACTCAACAAGCGATTCAAGAGGCTCCTGTTTAGTGATAGAGCTGAAGTTGAAACTGTGGAGCATGTCTTATCATACTGCCCTATGTATAACACAGCCAGAATTACATTATTGTCTCTCCTTGGAATTGATCCCTCTGGTTCTAATGTTAGTAATTTGGTCTTATATTGTCTAGGGTAGTGGTTCTCAACCTTTTAATGCCGCGACCCCCAACCGGTCGTAAGTCAAGGACTACTCAACCGGTCGTAAGTCGAGGACTACTCAACTGGTGCAGCACCGTTTGCAGAATGGGACTTTTGGTGGGCTCAGCAGGGCAGAGACAGCCTGGACAATTCCTATTGGCTTTTGAAAGCCAATAGAATTAGACTCTATTCAAGAGATTCAATTCTATTGGCTTTCAAAAGCCAATAGAATAAAAGGGAGTAGCACAGCTAAGGAAAAGGGGGGAAAATGGCAGACTGCGTTGTTGGGCGACCCCCGTGAAATGGTCATTCGACCCCAAATGGGGTCCCGACCCACAGGTTGAGAACCACTGGTCTAGGGGAAGGCTCCTCCTATATTACTTCTCAGGTTTCTAAATTTCTTTTAAGAGCTGTAACTATTAGAGGAGAATGTTGTAATTCCCTTTAGCCAAGGCTTCTGGTGTTAATTGTCTGTGATTATATTTTTCTTGTGTTTTCTTTTGTTGCATTTGTATTTTGGTCTGTGACCGCAAAATAAATAATTGAACTCTCCTGATGTTACATTTAGATAAAGAAAAACAATTGTTCTGAAATAATATCTATTTAAATATCGGTTTAATATGCTATGTGTTACCAAGCCTAGCCAGATCTGTCGTTGATCCTGGACCCGTTTTACCTAAAGAGCCAAAATTTGTGTGACTAAGAAAGATTTTTAAAAAAGAATGTGTAACATTCTATTTCATACATTTCTGTTTGTCTTATCTTGTTTAACTTAAACATCAATTGTTACTGGAACCTTTATTACTTAATTCTTGGAGTGATACAACCAGGATCCTCTTTATATTTCTGAACAAGCACACTTTTACACACATAGGCCAAGTAAATTCTGATATTTTTTATAGGTGTATGAGTTTACCAAAGAAGCATCTGTATGTTTTCAACTGTTTTAAAGGGAGATTTCTCTTAATTACATATCATCATCATGTTTAAAGTAATTGTGCTGTTATGGTCATAAAGCTAAGAGCATCTTATCAGGCTTTGTAGCAGGTCAAATCATCTGTTATTCCTATGATAGTCAGTTTTGAGAGCTGAACTGTGGGTGCCTTTTGCAGTGCTATGGGTCTGCAGGGGTTCTGCTTTTCCACCGGCAGAAACTAGACCACTGACAAGATGCTAAAGTTAGGCTTAGAGAAAACGTTCCTTCTATTCATATTACTAGGTTTTGTTCTGCTTTTTTCCTAAGCCTAAGTGTAAAGAGGGGAGAAAAAACAACAACTTTACTGAAGTTTCACTCAGAAAATAAGCATCCTAACAAACATCTCAATTTAATTTTTAAAGATCTAAAGAGTTGCTGCTTGTTTCAAGGTCCACAGTTGGGCTATTTCTTTTGCTTAAAATCCTTTGTTTTCTTAGTTTATTGATATTCTTGTTTTCATGGGTGGGGAGGAATAACCCATTATAACTGAAATCTTCCACATTTGGGGGGGGGGAGTGATCATGCAATATTGGAATTCAACGTTATGCAAGCATAAGGAATAGAACACAGTCAAACTAGAGTCTTGGACTTTAAGAGAGCTAATTTCAACAAACTTAGAGAGAGCTTGGGAAGGATTCCATGGATGAGAATCCTCAAGGGGAAAACAACTCAAGAAGCTTGGGAAATTTTGAAAAGTGAGATAATAGCATATTACCTAGCACAATACTAATGAAGAAGAAAAATAACAGCTCTCAAAAGAAACCAGCATGGCTGCATAAAGAACTTTCTGATAAATTGAAAGACAAAAAGGACAAGTATAAAAAGTGGAAAGAGAAGCACATAACTAAGGCAGAATATCAGCAAATAGCCCGAGCCTGAAAAGATGAAGTGAGGAAAGCTAAGGCTCAAAATGAACTAAGGCTTGCAACAAAAGTCAAAAATAACAAAAAAAGCTTCTTTCAACATGTAAAAAACAAGAAAAAAGTTAAGAAAATGATTGGTCCATTGGGAGGAGAAAGTGGAAAGAAGGTGACAAATAACAGGGAGAAAGCAGAACTACTGAAGTTGGTTTTTTTATCCATATTTACACAAAGGGAAAAAACAGTGCAACCTAACAAAAACAGTACTGTAAAAAACAGACTAAAAACACAAGAAAGAAAATAGTAAGTGAGCATCTGTCCACCCTAGATGAGTTCAAATCACCAAGACCAGATGAACTATACACCAAGGTTCTGAAGGAACTGACAGCTGTGATCTCAGAACCACTGAACTATATCTTTCAAAGATCCTGGAGCACTGGGGAGCTACCAGAGGACTGGAAAAAAGTCCCATCTTCAAAAAAGGAAAAAAATGGATCCAGGAAACCACAGACCTATCTGACCTCAATACCTGGGAAGATCTTGGAAAAGATAATCAAGCAACGAATCAGTGAACACCTAGAGGCAAACAAAGTCATTACCAAAAGCCAACATGGGTTTGTCAAAAACAGATCATGCCAGAAAAATCTTACTGCATTCTTTGACCAGGTGACAAAATTAGTGGACCAGACGAATGCTGTGAATATAATTTACCTGTACTTCAGTAAGGCATTTGATAAAGTAGACCAATAAGATAGAAAAATGTGGATTAGGCAGCATCACCACCAGATGGATTCATAGCTGGCTGACTAGCTGTACTCAGTGTGTGGTCCTCAATGAACTGCATCTACATGGAGGGAAGTGTGTAGTAGGGTGCCACAGGGCTCTGTTCTGGGCCCAGTGCTCTTCAGCATCTTCATCAATGATTTGGATAAGGGGATACATTGGGAACTCATCAAATTTGCAGACGACACCAAGCTGGCAGGAATAGCTAACACTCCAGAAAATAGGCTTAAGATACAGAAGGATCTTGAAAGACTTGAACATTGAGCTCTATCTAACAAAATGAAATTCAATGGTGAAAAAAGTACAGTTCTACATTTAGGCAAGAAAAACCAAATGCACAGGTATAGTGTCATGCCTCTGTCAGAGTCTGAATCTGTGGAGAAAAATGAACTGGAATGGGGCTCTATGGAGGCAGAGGGAGAGGTGTCTGCTTCAGAGGAATGTGTGGAAGAGCAGGCCGAGGCAGGCCAG